GCGAGTGGAAAAAAAAAAAAAAAAAAAATTGTTTTTTAATTCATTAAACGTGACTCGATATTTTTTTATTTACTTAATGGAAGTATCACTGAACTATTCCTTATGTAATTAAAACTTTCGATAGTATAATTTTGTGCACGTATACTTGTCACAATCACCTGAAATGTGATTTAATTTTTTTTCAATTGTATTAAATTATTAATAAAGTTATTTATTAATGACTTTATAAAAAGACGTATGATAATTTATAATTACAGTGGAAAACTGCAATTTTTCATTATGCAACTGTGACTTATGATTAAATCATATAATTATCCAAAAATGTACGCGATTACTTGTAAATTATTTTGTAGCAATTGTATATCTAATATTTTGCGATGTATGGCTCCTTGAGTGAATTTAATTATATTCTTTGTTTCGTTTTTGTGACAATAAATTAATTTATTAACATAAGATTGGTTTTGGCACAACATGTAAAGATACAATTAGGCTAAAATAATAGTAGCATTATTCGTACCAAAAAATATTTTATTTATTACAAACTTCAATCGAATTGATCAATGTATAAATATATTATACAGTAAAATTGTTACAAGTATAAATTTTTAGCACACAGTGATTACACACGATTATATACATAGGTATTCAACACTGCAAGTAACAGTCAGTCATGGGGTAATTAATGAAGCAAATGCTTCATCAAAATTAATTGTAAAAATACACAAGAAATCTACAGTAGGTGCATATGCTCTAGTATGAATACTATGAATGGCATTTACATCGATTAGTAAATAAAGTAAATGATAATTGTTTTGCAATGTAGACTCGCTTCTAATTTTATTTTATCATTATCTGAAAATTTGGATGACCAGAGTATACAAAAAAAAAATTTAAGTATACAAATTTTGTTTATTAGAAATCCGATTTTGCCCTCAAATCGAATTTGTTACTACAAATAAATGCTGCAGTGTACGTTATTTTTAAAATAAAACATACATTACTATTAGTAGGTCAGTGCAATACACCTAGAGTAAACACTTCTTGATATCTCAAAATTAATAACTTTTTGTGAGCAGTACTAAAAGTTGATATTTCATAATGCTCATCAAACAAAAAATCCGTTGGAGTTTGAATAAAATTTGACACAATTAATGACATTGATTAACACATGGATAAAAATTGCACAAAATAATAACAATTACAACTAATAAATTGTAACACACCAACAGAAATAAAAACTTTGTTTGTAATAAATTTACTTAGCTCCAATTTTTTAAGCAAAGGTAATATCACAACACCAAAATAAAACCCTGTTAATAAATATAAATCTATCCTTGATCCATAACTAGATGATGTCCAATTTCAAAAATCTGAAGTAAATTTTTTTTTACTATACACCCTTTTGTACTAAAATATCCCTTAAAACATCAATTTCTCCTATATATTAATTCTGTATCAACATCTCTTGTTTTTGAGTCATTCTTCTCAAGTTCGTCCCTGCAGGTTTTTATTGGCATACCCATGAAAGTCGGACCTCTGTTTGATAAAGAACGTTTTGGCTTTGGTATGTTATTCTTTTCTTTAAGTTCATTATACTTGAAAATTCCTTCACCTGGCATCACCATACCCAACAGTGGTAGTCTAAACAACCAATAGTAGCTGACATACCATGTCAGAATAGCTGCAACACCACCCATAAACTTTTCAATCATAATGTGATAATACAAAATAGTAGCAACAAGCATCACATCCCAAATGACTTGCTGGATTGTCATGGCAATGAATAATCCTCTTAAGTACGGTGTCAAAGCTTCATAAGCTTTTTTCAAAAAATTTAGATCTATATCTGACAAATTTCGCAAACATCCTGTGGTGTTTTCTGTGGATGACTTCCTATTGTACTCTTCATTCATAATCAAGTTCTTGATACCTTCCCACCCAAGCAGAGAATAGCCTTCTTCTGACAAAATTAAGCTAGAGTAAATAATAATAAAGGCATGACCAGAGATGTCAATGCTGCTCCAGAATTGTCCAGCTTGGAGACACTTGGATTTTGTATGCAAACCACGATCCCTCGTCCCCAAACAGCGCCCATAGTTGGTTTCCACGTAGCGGAAAATATTCATCCAGAGCATCCAAGCAGCTGTGGCAAAGGCCAACCGAACGAGGTGTTTTATAAGAATTGAGCGCCTACCGCAACCTATCGTGTGTGCCGTGAGAATTATCCAGGGCGCAGCAGTCGCGAGAAGCCAGCCCCAGGCCCACTTGATGAAGAATCTGTTTAAAAAGTTGTTGGATTTGGCGAAATAGGTATTGGGTACTGACACAACATCCGCTATGATGGAGCCTACAAATATCGCCGCGAAATATATGACAGCCTTGAGTCGTGGATCGTAAAGCAAGGACTTCTTGCAGATGTGCAAAATCATCGTCACCAGGACAAGGCTTACGGAGCTTGGAGCAGCTATCGGCCGTGTGCCGCCTCGGTCCTCCTGCGTGGAATTTGGCCGAAAGTTAAAATTTGTTGTGAAAACATTGTTTTTCGCCGCTGAGCTGCTCGGCAAGCCTCCCGCGGAGTGTATCGATTTGCGCTTCGACATTCGCGGAGTATCTTTGTATAACCTGTACGGCAGTAAGCTGTAACCCTTTTTTTCACTGCACTCTGCGGTACACGCATACAAGCCTTATTTTCTTCAACGCCAAACTTAATAAATAATTAAATAAGAATCTAATGTGTGGTACGAGGAAAAAGTAACAAACTGCACTCACAAATTTGACTTTTATTTTTTGTTATTTTTATCTTGGAACTTTGATGTTGTCACACATAATGCAGACGACGCAGGCTAAAAGTAGACGACGACGGGCCCTGCATCTTCAAAATACATAGTTTAATTCAAGGTAGTTAACTTACCGACCTGACGGTAACGTAGAGCCCAACCTTAAATTACTTGCTGCTGGTGACGATTGCGTGGTGGTATGGCGGTTGACCTGCAGACTGCAGATAAATCTTATGAGTTTATATTTATAAGATATAAGATCTGACATTTACTCTGACACTGTTTTTTTATAGTAATGTTAATTTAAATCTCTAATAACTGTTGCACACTTGCCAAAAAAACACTGAAAAAAGATTAAAAAGCCGAGAAAGCTAACAAGACTGTAAAATGAAACGAGGCAAATGAGACGATTAAGTATGTTAAGTATTGTTAACTGTACAAGATCTAATTTATCTACATAATAATGAATTTACAAAGGTGAAAACTATAGTGCTGTAGTCTGCAGTACAGTTATGTTATGTATATGTATCTCGAAGGGATTCAAAAACTATAATTTGAAAATTAACAAAACAAAAGCACGTCTTGCTTGAAAGAGATTCAAAGGTGGAAGAAGTAGTGTTTGTTTGTTTATTATAGTGACAAGTTTAGAAAAAAATCATGGTAAGTTTCCGTATTTCAGTAATACGAATTACGTTTCTAACTGTTAAATATGTTTTAAAAAATCTGTTTCGAATAAGATTTAATTTAACGAGATTTCAGAAAACTAACCTCTAACGTTGTGACTTTCACAGACCTTTTATGAAAAGAAAAAAAAAATTTCATCTTATTTTTATATGCTATTTATATTGAAAAACTTTGTGTCATTCAAAGTATGAAACTTGACATCCTCTATGCTCTAAATAAGTGTTTTCTCATCTTTACGTGTTTTTATGTGCTTACAGATAAGATCAAATGCTCCAAGTAAAGTTGGCAAACGCCCTTTGCTTGCAGAAATCACAATCAACAGTCAATTAACACAAAGTAGGCTAGATCTTTTTGAGCTTAAAAAACCAGCAAGCAAAGAAAACAAGCGAAGAAGAACTGAAAAAATTGTACAAATATCAGATCGCAAAGTGAGTGTTCTGTCAATCAATGACGTTTCTGTGGTGCAAGAAGTCATATCAGAGCACGTAAGTCTTCTATTATCATTTTAATTAATGATTGTTCCAGTCTTGATCAGAATTGAAAAAACATTTTTTTAGGAAGAAAGAATAAAAAAACTTTTGACGAAACCATTCAAATGTCCAGTACCCGGTTACGAATGTAGCGGTCGTCCATTAGGTTTTCGTTTTGCAGGCCCCAGGAGAGCTCTGCATGATCCAGATGAGGCCAATGCTCTAGTTGTTTATGCACCACCAGAAATTTCAGAACATGAAAGTATAAAAATTGATGAGTAAGTGAAAGATAAAAATTGAAGGTTTTTTATTATTGCGTGATTAATTTACCATATCAATGATTTTTCAGAAAGCACAAACTCGTACATGTAGTAGTAGATCCAATTTTGTGCAATGTACTCAGGCCTCATCAAAGAGAAGGTGTGAAATTCATGTACGAATGTGTTACTGGTAAAAGAATTGAAAATGCTTATGGCTGCATCATGGCTGATGAAATGGGTTTAGGTAAAACATTGCAGTGTATTACTTTATTATGGACACTTTTGAAACAAGGCCCTGAAGCAAAGCCTTTAATTGACAAAGCTATTATTGTCGCCCCAAGTTCACTGGTTAAAAACTGGTACAATGAAATTTTCAAGTGGCTTAACAGCCGAGTAAAACCACTTGCAATTGATGGCGGCAGTAAAGCAGAAATAGATACAAAGTTAACTAGTTTTATGAAAACTTATGGTCGAAGGTGCGCAAATCCTATTCTTATTATTAGCTATGAAACCTTTAGATTACATTCTCACGTTTTACATCAAGATGAGGTGGGATTAGTTTTGTGTGATGAAGGACACAGACTGAAAAATTCGGAAAACCAAACGTACCAAGCATTAATGGGGTTGAAAGCCAAGAGAAGAGTTCTTTTGAGTGGAACTCCTATTCAAAATGATTTGCTTGAGTATTTCTCGTTAGTTCATTTCGTTAACGCTGGTCTGTTAGGAACAGCTCAGGTAATTCACAAATTTATCAAAAACTTGTATAAAGAAAATGACACTAATGTATTTGTTCTTAAATTCCTACAGGAATTTAGAAAAAAATTTGAAAATCCTATTCTTCGCGGACAAGACGCAGGAGCCACTGACAAAGAGCGAGCACTTGCTCAAGAAAGACTCTCTGAATTAGTTACAGTTGTCAATAAGTGCCTTATAAGGCGAACAAGTGCATTGCTGTCTAAGTATTTGCCTATAAAATATGAGTTAGTGGTGTGTATAAAATTGACGGCTCTCCAAACTCAACTGTACAAAAACTTTATCAAAAGTGAAAGTATTAAAAAGTCAATGCAAGGTATTTTGTTCATTATTATTTGAAACTTGTTAGTAATGGTTGTGCCTTAGAACGTAAATTGTATATATATTTATTTGGTCATCCAAAGTTGCTGATGGTGGTTCTGGAAAAAAGGGTGGAGGCACTCTCAGTGCTCTGGCTGCAATTACTTCTCTGAAAAAATTGTGCAATCATCCAGATCTTGTTTATGACAAAATTCAAGAAAATTCAGATGGTTTCGAGGGTGCAGCTAAATTACTCCCAGCCAATTACAGTACAAAGTAAGAAGCAACCAATTTCAAATATTTAAAAAAATCATTTCTTCGTTTTGATTTATTCTTAATTCACTTATTGACAGGGATGTTTTGCCAGAAATGTCTGGAAAATTAATGGTATTGGACTGTCTGCTGGCACTCATAAAGTCCACTACAAGCGACAAAATTGTCCTGGTGTCAAATTATACACAAACTCTTGATTTATTTGAAAAACTTTGTGCAAAAAGAAAGTATAAATACGTTAGACTCGATGGTACCATGAGTATAAAAAAAAGAGGCAAAGTTGTCGATAATTTTAACAAGCCAGATAGCGGCGATTTCATATTCATGCTGAGTTCGAAAGCGGGAGGCTGTGGTTTAAATTTAATTGGTGCCAATCGACTTGTAATGTTTGATCCTGACTGGAATCCCGCAAATGATGACCAAGCTATGGCTCGGGTTTGGAGAGATGGTCAAAAGAAACCATGTTTTGTTTACCGTTTTCTTTGTGTAATAAATCATATTCTTTGTTTTTATTTTTTACATGAAAATTAGAGATTAAAATTTTAACGTAACATTTCGTGTTTATAGACAGGCACAATTGAGGAAAAAATTTTCCAACGACAAGCACACAAAAAAGCTTTGAGTTCAACTGTAGTGGATCAAGATGAAGATGTGGCAAGACACTTCACCCAAAATGATCTGCGAGATCTGTTTAGTCTTGAAGAATCGACAGTGTCTGATACACATTCGAAGTAAGTTTTTTTATAGCAATAAATTGCTAAAAATATAAACTCAAGATTTACCACTTCAAGTGCGATAACGTAGCACAGCTGTTTAAAGCTGAAGATTTTACTAAAAAGGAATTAGTTTTAGATTCATAAAAAATTCTATCACCTGAAAAAAAAACACCCAAATTTATGGATGCAAATGGGTCTGACGCTCTAAGCTCAACTGCTCAGCAAAAATCATTAACTACGTATCACTAGGTATTAAAACTTTTGGTGACCGTAGTACAACATAACATGTTTAAAAAATCCAGCAAGAGAATTTTGCTTATCTACCTTGTTTATTTGTTGCAAAACTTTTACCTTTGAAGTATAATTATCTAATATAAAAACATAATGAATCCTCAACCCTACAACGTCATCAGCATTAAAAGTTAAAGAAGGTGGAAAGGTCCAACATAGAAAGCGTGTTTTATTAGCAGCAGCCCTAACCTTTATTATTGTTTACTTTTTTTTCTATCATNTATAATTCCTTTACTTTTTCTCTTTCGAAATATTATCCAACATACTAAAACAGCCATTATGTTACTTGAAAAATATAAGCTCTAATATTGTCAATTATTAGTCTGTAAAGATATTTGTTGCACAATAATGTATCAAAATTTTATTATTGAATTAATATGTATACTTGTTTTAAGAGAACGTAAATATTCTAATGAATTCATAAGAGAAATAGAGAGAGAAAGCGATTGAATTAAGCAACTTTTGCAGCCCCATGCCTCCCCCCCCCACAATCTATATACATACAGGTACATACTTCTAAAAGAATGAAAGTAAGGTGATTAAGTGATTCGGTAATTGTACATCGTTCATATAGATACAAAATTTTATTCTTTTCATGAGAATCTATATAGTAATAAACATATTAATGTTAGACAGAGCGTATACTTTTTTGTTAATAAAATACTTATGTGTATATACGTAGCCATGGGACAAAGGATAGGAAAGTTCTCCTCTGAGGATGAGTTATAAATCTATAAATTTTTTATATTGCTTATTGAATATTGACGTTCGTGATTTTTTTTGAAGGTATTCATATGTTGTACACATACGTTTATTTCGCTGAAAAGTTTTTGGATTGGTAAACATTTATATTGGTCAATTGCTTTACAGGTATACCTCAATATATAATAAATCATACCACCAAAATTGCTTGGTTAATATATTTTACTTGTTTCTGTTTTGTATTATAACAAAGAATTCAAGCATTCAAACTCACTCGCTTCCGCTAAGTTAAACTTACTAAACAGTTAACTAATGTATTGATTCAATGAAATCATAAAAGTAAATGGTTGAATCGCTGAATGGTCTCTTGAAGTCGATGAAAAATTGTCAACTAGTAAATTAAAATTTAACACTTAGTACTTAGTGTATTTTTTTTATTAGGAGTATTATATAGTTTCCAAGTTCCGATAAAAAAATAAATAAACCATATAACGTGTATATTTTTTATCCCGCTGTATTAAAAGTAGAGAAAAAAAAAGGTTTTTTCGCCGTTGCATCAATATCGTAAATAAAAAAAGTGCTAACTCTTCAGTTAGAAAAACCATTGGACTAAGTTGGACTTGAGTATATTACATCTATATGAAGTTAGAACCTTAAATACTATATGTGTATGTTTATCTATTAATATAAAAAAAAAAAAAATTTTCTGCAACTAAATCAAAATAAAGCAGAAAAGCTTCACAATCACATCAGCTGATGCGAATCGAATAAAAAAAAAAAGAGCGTTGCAGAGGCGTGCAGAAAAAGGAGAGGAAAAGAGAGGGATCGAAGGGGGGACCGATCACGTGATTAGCAAAGTGCAAGCAAAGCAACGCGATTGGTTAGCTTTGCAGCACCAAGCTTTTGGCGCTCCTGCATGCAGGTTCTCACAAGTTCGACCCTTTCTCTCTCCTTCTTCTCCCCTTCGCATGTACTATTTCGGCGGACAGAGTGAGAGTGGAGGTGGAGTGTGTGGAGGGGAACTGCTGACGCTGCAGTTGGGGGCTCGAGCATCAAGCAGAAAGGAGAAGCTGCACGGCGCCCTCCTCAGAAAAGTTCCAGATGTGGCCATGTTTAGTTCTTATAAATTTGCAAGTTCGAATTTTATAAAATCCGAGATTTTATTATAACTTCACTTATCTTGACATATATTATTCATTACACGTAGACGCACACGTAACGAGAGAGAATCGGGATTTTATTTTTCCGATTCTGCTTCACGACAGATCAGCACTGTTGCTTCTATTCTGTGCCATACGTATACATAATTACGTACACATATATACATCAATATATATGTACATTGATTATATTTAATACGTCTATTGCGCGCGTGAGAGGAAAACCCAAATATTTCTCTTGCGCTTCTTTTTTTTTTTTTTTCTCTCGAAACGCATACTTTTTCACGTCGATAAGAAAAAGAGGCCCCGAGAGAAAAAAAAGTTTCCTGGTGATGGTTGGTTGGCTACGCTCACGGTCTCGGATCTCTGACACTTACTCGGGACAAAGAACATTGTAATAACCCGAAGCCTATTTACGCTTCGATCATCTTTTTATCATTGTACCTATAACTAACAAAGTTTCTTATAGCCGTTAACTGCGATGTTTCAATTACATGTCACTTCGGGTAGGTAAACTCGAGGGCGCGCTCGTTTTATTTTCACGTGTGTCTCCGTGTATATTTTTACTACTCGTGTTCTCTCTCTCGCACGTTGGCGCCATATTGATTCGCTAATTTTCAACACGTCATTCGGGTAAGCACTGCAGACAAACGGACGAGTCCATTCTACACACAGACTTTCTCTCCCACCATACGTGTATATTATTATATTACACGCTGATCCGTTAGTTCTATTGCGTTTCTCCTTTGAGTAATGTTTCTGTTGAATTGACATTACACACTTTGATGTAAGTATACCGTGAGTACATTCAAACTTGAACTACGAGGAACGAAACAATCGTCGCCATGCGAAGCTCTACATTTGAAGATTAACCTCGGATTTCAGTTGTATAGTTTTGCTCGTGTTGCCGCCTTTATTAGTGTATGTACACAAATAACGTTAAATCGGTGAGATAAAGAAAAAACAGGGGCATCAAATTATCGATCGGCCATATTTTTCCGAGCATGCATGGATGTAGTTCATGTAGTGTGTGCGCCAGGAATAGTCGCTCTCTCTTTCTCTCTCTTTTTCCGAAACCAAACCCGCACCACCTTCGTCGGCCTGATCTCTTGGATCTCGGCCAGCTGCGCACGCATCAACAAACTATGACGACGCGCCGACCGTCAATACAACTTGAAAAGCAATCAGACGTGACGCATGTATATATGTGTACTTACACGACACATCCACAGCCGGACTGACGCGATACCTATTTTTTTTATCCGCCCCTATAACTATAGATACATACAACACACTACACATCAAGACTGAACGGCCCAAGTTGTTTGTTCGCCGCATATCCTCGAAGCCTGTGCTCTTTCTTTTGTTACAGTATATATTGCTGCAGATACGTAAAATGAATACCTTTATCGAGAAGCAGTTCAATTAATGTATAATATATATGTAGGTACATAAACATGTATATTATATGTATTGTCCATTAATCGCCTGAACTGGCGTGCCATTGCGTAAGTTTGTCTTGTATTTTGGCAACGGGTACATAAAACCACAATTTTTTCACCTCTTTCCTAAAAAAGAGATGCTCATATTTATATAGCGTACGAAAGTTATTAATTATCTTGGTTTGTTTATTTTATTTTATTTTTTTTTGTTTTTTTTGTACGCTATCGCGATATCTTTTTTTTCTTTTTTTCCTTCCCATTTCAATACGCGTGGCTTAATTTTAACTTTATGTGACTCATAATTTATCATGTGACATGTTTGCGTCAAGTGCTTTAGGCAGTGTCGAAATAATTCCTATGCAGTATTGAAATTTCCTCGACTTTCGTGCAAAATAACTTTAGAATAAATCAAGGTCGGTGAAGCTGTATAGAATCCAGGGCACGTACATAGACACAAAGACTTAATACGTGGTATATACATTTGTATCGTGTACAACATTACATTGAAGTGGGGGCGCTCGGATATACGCATGCATAACGTACAAATGGCTGCCGCCGCTTATCTGTCTTGTTAAAGAATTTAACAATCACGGACATTTCAACACCGTTTACTTACAAGTCGACGGATACACGCCTACACATGCATGCACTCACCGCCGACTCGGACATACTATAGATCCCGTACGTTGTTCACGCAATACATTTACGAAGGTTGGATTCGATTAGATCCCGTTTCGCTGTTTCAAGTTACTTTAAAAGCCAGGTGTTCGGATGCGAGAAACAGGAGTAAAGAGGCGACGTGGAGATTTTATACGACATATTTATTCGTGGGAAAAAATTTGGTAACGAAAGACCTTGGGACTCAAACCTTCGGGAAGACTGAACCCCGTGAATCATTGAACTCAAGAACCGCGAGTCTTGGAGAGTCGTGCCTATAGTCTTCCCAAAGTATTCGTTAAGTTAGACTCTGTTACACGTGACTTCGCGTTCGCATACGTGTTTTCACTTTCGATTTTTAATATTAAAGTCTTGGAAAATTTTGTAGAATACAACACGTTAACAAACGGTGAAGGTCTCTTGTTACAAAATTTTTAGATTTTTCGGCGCACCGAGATTATTAAAATGTTGAGGACATAGCGAACAATGACGATTTTCTCTGTAAGACTTTTATACATTTACATATAGGGAGTGACTAGGAGGAACGAGTATCTGATCGATTATGAGAAGGGTGTGATCGCGCGATTAATTTTTCACAAGTTTTTTTTTTTTTTTTTTTTCTTTCCATCCGGCGTAAGAGCGATGCCCTTGATCGTTGAGACCCCCGGTACGAATGAGCGTATATTTGCTTTTTTTGAGATACATGTTAAATTTTTCGTATATTTGCAACTGAAAACATACCTCTTTTTTTCTCTTTTTTTTTTTAATGAGAAACTGCGTGCATACTTATTTTTTAACAATAAATTAAAGGTGCCAACAAAAATTCACATGTATATTCTAGCATACAAAGAACTTTATTTCCCATATGTCACATTGGAGCGTCGACAATGGATATAAGTATAGTGTTGAATAATTTCAGTACCTATCATCGACACGTCACGATCTTACATTTTCCCTCTCTCTGGAAAGAACGTTTTCACTGTTATTGTGCCAGGTAATAAAGCAGATATACAAGTGACATCCTTTTATAGAATAGGTATGTAGTAAAGTTTAATTCCCAGGGAGTCAATATAGTTTGACCGGCCCAGGTGTACTGTTTTTCTTATTTTATTTGAAATTTTTTTTTTTAATAACTCATACCAGATACGACGCTCGTACAAATCAATGTCTCGGATAATTCTTTGAGTGAAACTGCTGCTTAGAAATTTCACCCTTTCGAATTAATTATTGACAATATTTATTTTTATTGCTAATTTTAATTTTTTTTTTAAAAGCAAAATTTTTAAAAACAGCATATTGATCCCCTTTGTAACAACTATTGAAATAAAAAAAATTTTCGCACTGAAATTATTAATTTTTCACACTCTTCTATGATTAATAAAATTTTGTAAAAATAATTTTCAATTTCAACAAGCATCGTCAAAATGAATTTTCTAAATTTAACTCGCGCAAATGCCATTCAAATTTATACTTTACTTTCCACTTACGTATACGTTAAAAAATATATCCCCCGACGGACATTCTCTTACTATCACGAGTCTACCCGATAATATATCGATTTTGGTTTTTTTAATGCAACAATTAAATATTTATAATTTTAAGAAAATTTAATTGCCGCGTTAATTTTTTTCTAGGAGAAAAAGTAAATAGAATTTATCGCTTTCAAATACAAATTAGTTTTATTTTATACAACAGATTAATATAGTGAACAAAATAATTGATGACTAAGACGTAATTATTAATAGACGTAGGAGTAGGTAGAAAGGCATCAATTACTAGAGATCGAAGCAAAACGTATATTTTTACTACATCATCTTCACGCTGTTTCACACAACAGCTGTAAAACTCTTATTTTCCTGGCTAGTTCAAAGGTAACATGCACAAGGTATCTAGGCAATAATATTCGGTCACATGCACCGTCTATACCTACGCGTGATTTCATGCGCAAAAGCATCAGGTAGGGAGAGAGAGAAAGGGAGAAGCCGATCCGGTTTCGTGAGAGTGGCATGATAGTGATACCACGTTAAGTATACTTTATGAGGAATTCCGCAAAAAATGTTTGGGGTCCAAAAATAAATTTGACTTTTTGTGCAGTTTTTTCAGTTTTTTTTTTTTTATTATTTCGGTACTTATACTTTAGGTAAAAAATCTTCTGAAAATTTTTTCTCAACCTCATAGTTTTTTATTTCTAAATTTTCTATTTTTAGTTGTCAAAACAGTAGAATATAATGCGAGATTTTTTTTATCTCTTTGAAATTAAAAAACATATGTTTATATATATACTCTGGAACTAGCACAAATATATATTTTTTTTTTTTATCTCATACGAGTACCTACACATTCGTATGTGTACGACAACGCATATACAAGCACATACACCGGGTTACAGCGAAGGGGATCGATCGAAAGGAGAGATGATGGGGAGAAAGATCTGTTGCGACGGTGAAGCGAAAACTACATACTTACATCGTGATTAGCGTCCGGAGTTCGATATTTGTTTGCTGGCTTGTTCGAACATTATTATTTTCTTGCATCTAAATTAAAATAGTGAAACAAATAAATTTTTTTTTTACATGCGTACATGTTATATCGGTCGTCAGGGATATTTAATCAAGAGAAAGCTATAAACGTGATTTTTTTAAAGAGCATGATTTGCTAAAATCGCTGCCACGTTTGCATCGTTATTAGTACTGCGTTTATTTTCAATGTTGACCCGATGAGAAAAAACGGGAGCGTTTTATTGTACGATGTGAATAGGTGACTCGCAGTTGTCATTGGGGCAAGTAGTTGAATCTGAACGGATGCAATGAAGGAAAAAAAAAATTTTTTTTATTCAAGTCAGTCATAGTAGCGATCAATGCGTAGTGGCGCAATTTCGTTTAGCATATTTCTTGCGTCAATGACGGCTATGTATAGTGTCACTTGGATAGAAACACGCAATGTTAACGGTTGTTAGCAAACTAAAAAGCAGTAGTCGCACGAAAAAATCCACATTATAATATTTTTGTTCTTTTTTTTTTTTTTTTATTCTTTGTAGGACGACGTAAGGACCAGAGGAGGATCTAACAACGCGTGCAACGGGGTTCAATTTACTTTTGGCCCCTCCCATAAGTGCGCTAGAAAAAAAAAATTTGGCACCCGGATTTCTTCTCTTCTTGATTCTCCGATGCTTTCTGAGTCACGTATCCGTCTCATACCACCGCTGTATTAAAGCAATAGAGAGATAGATACGAAAAATAGAGGGGCATCTAACACACGCGCGTCCTCTGCACCCATGTGTGATGCCGCGAGCTTTGCTCCATGTCACATGTCAAATAGTCCATCAGCCAAACAACAACAACAACAACGACAACAACAACAACAACAACAACAACAACAACAACATCGACAACAAGAAGAAAAGAAGGAAGATATGCTGTAGGGGAGGACGCACAGTATTGATGCACGTGGCGTATCACCAGTAGACCGAAGAAAAGAGAGAACGGCCTTTTTTTCTGTTCTTTTTATCCATTTTATTTCTTCGGCCCTTGAGGGGCCTACCCCCAAGGATTCAGTTGGTTTATGCCTTAAAAATTTCCATTGCAATCGTTCATAAATGATGGCCCTCGAGAGTATTTCCACGTCCGAGACTATTATTCAAAGGTTTGATCATTTTTACATTCTGTTTTTTTTCTTTCGTTTAATTTAATTTTTCTCTTCTTTTTTTTCATAGCCTAAGTATGCTGGTTTTTTTTCTATTTTTGAAGCGCAAAATTTTTTTGAAAAAATTATAACCCATGGTAAAGGTAAACGTGGTATAACATACCTTCAGCGGTAAGAATAAGCGTCATCACCGAGTGACATTCACATATTATACACGTGTATCGTACACTTTCATACAGACTGTAGACAACCACTTTACAAACGTATGGATGTATGTTCACATGACGTTATTTTTTTTCGCACATTTTTACGTAAGAAATTTATATGATATATATCCACGTACCTGCACTAAACTCAATCAATTAAAATTTATTTTTATTCGTTTATCTTTATTTGAATTGAAAGCACAACTATTCATATTATTATAAGTATTGTTGTTGTTTCTATTATTAGTTTTCGTGTGTCGATAATTCATTTATAATGTTCATTATGCAACCATTAAGTGAGTGACATTATTTCATTGAAACATGCAAAACTTGATGAAAATTCTAATGTATTCGAGTCACTTGAAGAAAAATTCTTGACAGCATGTCGTCAACATGGTTATTTAAACAGATATCGAATGACTAATTACGCATACGTACTTAAAAAAAATCGTCACTGTCATCATTAATTCATAAAAAAAAATGAATCAACATTTTGCGCTCCACTTAGGGGCGAATTAGAAAATTTTATTTGTCATAAGTTGATTAAAAGTCACTTTCTTGCGTCTAAGTGCGTGGAAATGTGACATTTTGTTTTGTTCGGTTATTGTTTTCGCTTAATGAGTCAAATTTGATTTTTTATTTTAATTTTACCATCGATATTTCTGTTGACACACGAAAACGAATTTTTTACATTTTGAGTGATATACACGTGTCATGCTCAGGTGGTGCATTGCGAAGTTAAAATCGTTGATAATACAATCGCTTCGCAATACATGCACCAAGCTATAAAACGTAATTGTCGGAAAGAAATTGCTGGAAATACGTTGTGTTGCTGCGGAGTATTCGTTGTTAATTAAATTAAATTTATTTATTTATTTTTTTTTATCAACCCACTCGTTTCGAGCGGTTTATAATAACTTTTTTTAACTTTAAAAAATGTAGTTTGATCTCATTTTTCAAAAACCATCAACTTCTGATACTTAAAATTAACAATTTTTTTTTTATCGAGCAATGTTTGTTTGTGGAAGTAACATTAAGTCTTGTTAATATACAGTGATAAGGCAGTTCCTTATGAGGCAGACAAAGAACTTACATAACGACAACTCCTATACTCTAACAAAATGTTTTGATAACTCGGAATACGGTCACAAACATCTCTTACAAAACATATTATAAATATTAAACAATTACAGCAATCTCGAGGTTTTTAGTTACCTTAAAAAAAAGGATGCTGCAGCATGTAAAACATAATGATGATGACAAAAATGATGATCATGATTACAACAATGGTACAGCTGCAATGAAAACGATGTCATGCTTTACAGTGTGCATAATGACAATGATGATGAAAAAAAAAAAACTTTATTTTGTGCCAAAATTTGATGAAATTTACAATTGACCAGTGGATGACTATGATGTTTCATGATTATGATAATAATGACGATGGAAATGATGAAAATGATGAAGTGATCTTTTATGATGATAAACAACGATTACAGTGATAATTATGGCAATGATGTTTTAGTATTATTTTAATGACCAGGTACACTGTGGTAAGAAAAGTCCAGTTTGACTACTTCATTTATATGGCATTCAAGTAATTTTTTTTTCGACTCGTCTTGTGTCCAGTTTGATGTACAGAAACATTCCCAAAAAATTTCTCTAATATTTGATTTGGCGCTTAAAACGTGTTCTGGGTTAAATGTTATTTTTTTATTTATTTATTTTTTTTTAATACGCGAAATGGATGCTATAACCGTGTAAAAGATAATCAATCAGTAATTGAAATTCAGTAATACAGTACTTTTAATCACTACCTGGTTCAATTTCTTTATACGCTTTGTTTGACTCTTCAAGAAGAAACGTTTTATCTTATCTAAAGATTAAAAATATAACTGTCAACAGTACATATTTACTTCTACTCGTGTCACCTTGCTGCTTACGAAATTGCAAATTAATCAAAGCGAAGTTAGACAAATTGTTAGATTTCCCATCAAACGAAAAATTTCACGCTCTAAAAAAATAATAAAATCAATAACTCAGATTCTTCATCAAAACACATGACTGTCATCATACGTTTCGAATACAGACTACTTTTTCAGTACTCGCGTTTTATTGGTGAGAAGCTAAGAACAGTTACTTGAAGAAAAAAAGTAGAAAAGAAACGAATATATTAATAAAAAGCACCGATGCAAATCCAGCAAAAGCACTTTAATTGAGGAATAATAATAATAATAATTATTATTATTATGTAACATCTCTGTTTTAAAACACTGGGTAAGCTCATCTGAAAAATTTTGCGCTGAAAAAATGAAAGAGAAAAATAAATCAATTAACAAAACCAACGAACCCAAAAAAAAACAAAAACGAAAATTAAAAAACGAAAATTCACAGCAGTATCGATAACGATGACGATTTGGAGGACGGTGAGATACCCTCCGACGAGGACGACGAGTCGCTGCCCGTAGTCCCAGACACAGTCAAGCCGGTCACCGCGGCTGCACCAGCTCCGGCCACCCCATCCGCCGCATCAGAAACAACATCAGCAGCCGATACTGCGGACGCTGCGGCCGACGAGCCCCCCAAGTCCCAAAATACCACAAAGACTGAAGCACCCAAGTCCAAGGGTTTCGATAGCGAAAAATCCGGCAAAAGCAAAAAGTCCGGGAACGTCGACAAGTCGAACAAGCAAAAGGTGTCGTCTAGCGATGACTGGGCTGGCGACGTGGAGAAAGCCATCAGAGCTGCCCTCGACGAGGACAGGAGCAAGAATCATGACAGCAAGTCCGGTCGGAGTAAAGGTAACAAGAACAAAAACAGAAAGAGAAATCGCGACGAGAAGGAAGACGAGCGGATCAGGGATCAAAAGGTGAGAGAGATCGTCGATTTTGTGATTGACAATTAGCATGAGACGTTGATCGGATGATTTTGATTTTGATTATTTTTATGCTCCTTAGAAAAAAAAGTTGAGCGACGAGGAGATCGTCAACGAGGACGACGATGACTTGGTCTTTGTGCGTGGTGCGTCACCCTCGAGACGGGGCTCCCACGACGACTGCTCGCCGAGGCGTTCTGAGCGCGACAACTACAACAGTGGCTCGGACTTTGATGACCGGCCCAATCGGCATCGCGACGACAACAAGCGGGTCGGAAAATGTAAGTTATTGCTACCTGATATAAGAGTCACTTTTTTTTTAGTTAGATGCGTAGTTTTATATTTTCTTCTCTTTCCGTTGCATGTTTTCTATACCAAATGTGGATAATACCATGTTGGTGTTGCTGTTTACATATTTCTCATGATTTTTCGAACATTTCATAGGGTCCCAATCCAAAGCGGAACGCAACAACAAAAAGGCACCGATTCAATCGAACCGAAGGAATCCAAAGAACGACAGAATCGAACGTGGCAAGAACAGAACTCGTGCGCAGCTTCGAAATGAACGGAACAATGGCCGGCGCAATCAGATAAACGATTTTCAAGATCCGGAATCGATATGCGTGTACTATATGCAGGGTAAGTGTCATCGGGGCGACGATTGTCCGTTTTCCCACAATGCCCTGCCGCCGCGAAAGATGGAACTTTGCAAGTTCTACTTGATGGACTGTTGTGCCAAGCGCGATAAGTGCCTCTACATGCACCACGATTTCCCGTGCAAGTTCTTCCACACAGGGCTCAAGTGCGGCTTAGGCGAGAACTGCAAGTTCTCACACGAGCCCATGAACGAGCAGGTGAAGAATATTCTTCTGAAGCACTTGGAGACCGCTCCAAAAGAGATACTTGGTAACTTTCCACGATTGAGCAGGGAAGGTGCGCTTTACCTGATAAACAATACCGAGAGAAATTCGTCTCACAGCCATGATGGCTCGAATCAGAAGATCCCGAGTCTTTTTGAAGTTAAGGTGGCAACTATGAATGAGGGCAGGGATGATGGTAATAAACTCAATACTTTTTATCTCAAGATATTTATATGAAAGTCTCGCTGTGTACTAACAATTTTTCAATTATTTGTAATTAACAGATGATCGCGACAGAGGATATAAGGATCGCAAGGGGTCGTCAGGGAAGAAAACACGCTGGGGTTCGAATGACGACAGAGTACCCATCGACATGCTCGTACAGTCCGCGTCGCAGCTTAGCTTCATTGGCAACCAGGACAAGCCGCAAAAAGCTCCTTCTGCAAACTTCTATAATGAGGCGAACGACATCAATCTGGACGTTAAACGAGTTAAAGAGAAAAACGATCCGTCTGCGTCGATTGCATCTCTCACAAAGGACGTTGATCTTAGACAGCTGATGGGCGGTGTTGCCAAGAAGCCTCTGGTCATTGATCTGGCCGACGAAGCGGCTAGTTTTACCAAGTCTAAAATAGACGAGGAGAGCGATCGTGATGAGGATGGGAACCTCGTGAGTGAGGTACCAGCCTACGAGGAGAAAAAGTTGAAAGTACCAGGTAATTGTAAAACAGAGATTTCAAATTATAATTCAATTTGAAAAATTAAGGATTGATGATAAAAAAAATTTTCTTCTTTGTTTTAGAAGCAGATAAGACGAAAAATTCTGATTTGCCGGCAACGGATGTGCCAACCAGTCTGCCGAAAAAAACGCAAGAGCTGTATATGAGGATACAGCAACAACAGCGTGAGGCAGAGGATAGTTTCAAGAATCTGGAGAACACAGAGAACCTGGAGATATCTCAAGACGATTGGTATTCGGATGACAATGATGATGACGACGACGATGAACAGCAGTTAACCATAGTGCTGAAGGACAATCAGAAAGACGAGGAGGAAGAGGAGGAGAAGAAAGAGGAGCCGATGGAGGTAGACACGACGCCGCAGCCATTGAGCATTCCGCAGCCTGCAGCGATCGTCGATAAACTTGGTAATTTGAGCAAAATCGACATTAGTATGGAGGTATCAAAGCTGCTATCGACTATCAAGGCCCAGAGTTCTTCGAACCACAAGCACGACAAGGAGTTGGCTTTGAAGAGCAAAAGAGAGTCAGAGGCATCTAGTGTCGAAGAAGTGTCAAAACCTACGACAGCGGAAAACTCGCCACTGCATCAGACTGGAAATAATAGTCCAACACAGTCTTCCAGTAAGTGTTCGAATTCTTTGTAACACCACAGCTTTTAAATTTATTTACTCCGTTCATGTTTAAAAAACTATTTTTACAAATTCTAGTTTCCTCAACAACAGCACAATCAGGATCTGTGTCCAGAGATCCGCGAATGAGTAGGGATCCCCGGCAACGCCGAGAGGATCCAAGGACGGGTGCTACAAGTTCAACTGTACCAGTGGCAACCAAACCCGCGCCAGAGCTCAAAGAGTCTCGTTCCCTTAGACTCGAGACGAGTATTTACAGCTCGGGTATAATAGCCCAAGATGCAACGTTAGACACGGATCTGCGAGCTAAGCTGGATCAGGATCATAGACGCAAGGATATGGATTTAAGGTGCTTCCCACCAGGTCCAAGTTTTGGTGACACGGATTTGCGCCTGGTAGGTGGCCACTATCCGGAATCAGCCAAATCTGGTGATGTGGACCTCAGGCAGATGCTCGGCTTGCCTTTCAAGCCGGTACCGTCACATATGCCATGCACGGAAATTGAAGCTGGACTAAACTCACATCCCTCAATTCCCTATAAGGTGAGCAGAGTTCTCGGTGAAATCATCTGTAATTATTTTTTATTTCAATGACTAATTGCAATTGTTGACGGCTATGATGTAACACCAACAGGTATACGTGGTGGACGTTCCGAGACCAGACTATACAGGACTTAAGCTAACGAAAAATGATCCTCAGGTTAAGTACGACCCGAGGTTACGAAAAATTTTCCGTCTAAGTAAGGACGATATTGTAGACTCGCCGATGTCACCACCACCGATAAAAATGTTGGATACACCTAAGTCACCGCCGCTCGTTCGAACTGATCCAAGGCGCAAGGCGCTTGAGGTTCACGCTCCGAAAATCATACCCACAACGGTGCAGCAGCACCCCGTTCAGGAACACCTTAATTTACCTGGTAACATAAAATTTCTTTCTGTGATACAATAAAAATTAGATTGAAAATTTTGCCGTTAAAACATGGTTTTTTCATTGAAACAGGAATGGGACTGAGTATGGGACAGAACATCCAAGCTCCATTTGTGCAAGGTCAAAGCAACATGCAAATGCATGGTATGCAACAGGGCATGAATCAAGGGATGCAGCAATCCATGGGCCAGTCAATGATGATGCCTGGTAACTCGATGATGGGACCCAGTGGCATGGGGCCGATGATGCGTGACGGTCCAAACATGTCAGGCAACGGAGGTCCGGGGACAATGGGTGGCTCTAGTATGCGAATAGGTGGCATGGGCCAAGGTGGACCTCAGATGTCAGGACAAGGGCAGTACTACAGTGGACAACGCACTGGGCTCCTAGGGGCAGGACCAGGTCCATTACCTAATTACAGTCAAGATGTTAGGAATCAGTATGATATGCCTGGACGGGGCTATCCAACAGATAACTACAATAATTATGGCCCTAATGGACCTAATTCTGATCGAGTAGATCACAGATTTAATTCTAACGGGCCAATGGATGAACCGGGATTCGGTGGCTCGGCCGACTGGAACTCAAATCCTTCGAAAATTGGTCGGAAAGATCGAAGAAGACCACCAAGGGGAGGCAAATTTTCTGGCATGCCCAGAAGAAAAGACTTAACTTAGTGAAACTAAAAAATGTAAAAAATTTTGGTGCTTGCTTGTTAAACTGTACATTTGTATAAATTTTCAGAGAATAAGCTTTAAAAATCGTAAATATTTATAGTTACAGTGCATGTGTCTCCTAGTATGACATACAATACAACTGATTCATAAGTTTTAGATAACAGCTCAATTGTCAACTTTCTGAGTTTAGCGAGATAAAACTTTTTGTTAAAGCTTTGAAAGCATTATCTGATACTATACAGCGATTAATTTCTGTTGAGTTTTATCAGCCTAAGTTTGAAATAAGTATATAGGTATATTTGAATAATTTATACGTCACAATTGATCGATTGACATTATGTGCGTTAAAAACGTTTTAAGAGAAATGGCTATAAATAAAGTATTTATAATTTGACATTGTGTACAATTGCGGCAATGAAAATTGTTTTTTCCTTGTCAAAAATCGTTTATAAAATGAAAGTTGTACAAAATGCCAAATGGGTTGATTTAAATGAACAGTTATTTATTGTACATACAAAGCCAGTTAAAAATGCGAGTTATATTAAATCGTAAGTCCTTAGAACTTGTTTCAATTACAAATTTTTACTTACCTATAATGTTTCCAGAAAATAAAGGTTTCCTTTGTACATGCTTTGAGATTCATTTTTCTTACGTCTTCCATGTACATAAAACATATGTTAATGTATGTATAAAGGCATATTTATATGTACAAGTGACAATTATATAAGTTCACAACTCATGATGTTACATTTACTCTTTAATAAACATTGAATTTATAACGTAATAAACTTTCTAAGAAAACATCATCTACTTTTCAATTAATTTATCCTATTAACTTCAAATACCTTTGCAAGTAATTTTCTATGCTTGAATCACACTTTTTGTAAAAAATTCATCTGCATTTATTAACAACCGACGTTTGGCATACTTGAGCAATGAGATACATATAACTGAGAGATACAAGTGAGACATTTTTATTACAAAAGTAAAATTATTGTACAGAGTAGATGATTTTCTAGATTTTTAATATTTACAGTCTTGTATTATCGCAAATGAAAGTATGACTACAATCAAAATCATACTTAGCATTCAATCAACATAAATGTAAATTTATTTATGACTAATACACTCAATGTGTGACTGAGCTCAGTGGTTCTGCCCTTATAACAGATAAATCAACGCGAGCATCTAGATCGTCATCCAATTCTCCAATTATAGCCCTGAAAAAAAAAATACATACACGCTGCACACAGTCTTCTGCATGGGAATGCAATTTTTATGAACTAATTACTTACACATTGTCGCCCCTAATAATCTGTAGTCCTAAAACAACTTGTTCGACACCTTGAGTAGTGCTGTAAACCCTTTCATGTGACTCGTCTAAAATTAAATTGATAGTCTGATCGAAACCCTTTAAAGTTCCCTGAAATGTAAAAAGTATTTAACTTTGAATAGTAAAAAAAACAAATAAAATAACCCTAAATACATAAAATAAAATCAAGCAGAAGCACTTACGATGAAATTGCGGCCATCTGACGTTATAATTGAAACAGTGTCTGTGATAGTATAGGTAAAACTGTGGTTTAAATACACTTTTGTAATGATTATTAAGCAAAAAAAGGATACGATTAACGTAATTTTCCAAGCCTGTTGCCATATTTCTGGAGTTTTTTTTAAAATAATGATAATAGTTTTACATAAAGTGTAGCCGCTGAAACTCAAAGCTGATAGATAAAATATTCAAAGGTTTATATTTACACACAAAAAATGCACACGCTGACACGCTGGGCTGTGGTACTGATTCAAAAAAATTTACTTTTCAAGTGATGAGATGAGGACACTGGAAAACTACAACAACCCGGTGAACACATAGATTCTGGCGAATAACCGGCGGGTGTGTGTGGCGTGTATATAACCTATAGGTATTGTCAATTGCATTATTTGCACGTGTGTATATGATACATTGTATATATATATACTGCGTGTAATGTGGATGAGCGCCATCTAGCGTTTCGGATTTCGCGGACAAACGCGAACTATTTTCTAGGGGAACCGTCTTGAAAAAAACCCTAGATTCTAGGGATTTCCAGCAGAAGTAAATCACTAAACATATATAGATATAGTGTGGGACAAAGATCGCAGCATATATAAGAATACTTACAGGAGGTAGATTTTCGAGTTAAAGATAAACTGTACACTTGCCGCAAATAGCACAGACAATGTTAACTTTTTATGTTCTATCAAAAATATTAGTAGCGGCTGGTTTATAATTGATTAAATGGCTCCAATACAAGAAGTACTTGGATCAGCGCCATCTAGCGTTGCGAATTTCTGAACTAAAAAGTGGCCCTAAACTTTTGAACCAGAGCTTTCGCGCGTAGAGCTATTTACTCAGTTATAAACCAGCCGCAACTCACGATGAAGCTATAAAATAAAAAAACAACGATATGTGTGTTTTTGGCGGCAAGTTAACAATCTATTTTCTACCAAAAAATTGACCTCCTATGTGTTTATACTTTTAAAGATAAATTTTTAAGCATAAGATAAATTGTTAACTTGCCGCCAAAAACACATGTATCATTATTTTTTTATTTTATAGCTTCGTCATGAGTTGCGGCTGGTTTATAATTGACTAAATGGCTCTAATCCTGAATGCTCTGATTTAGAATTTTAGGAGCCACTTTTGGCCAAAAAATAAAGACCGCTAGATGGCGCTGATCCAAAATAATTATTGCTACTTACAGTAAAGTCACTTTATTAGTTATAAACCAGCCGCAACGAATCTTATAGATAGATAATAAAAAGTTAACATTTTTTGTGCTACTTGCGGCAAGTTTACAATTTATCTTTTACCTTAAAATCGACCTCCAAAACCATCAATATTCTACTTATCTTATATGGTTCATAAAATCGACAATATTTACAAAATTACAATACTCTTGACCTTTTACCATTAACTCATGTAATCACAAATTAATCAGTCCAAAAGAGACAACCGAAGAAAAAAGGCCTGAAAAAGAAGCACAGTCACACGAAAAGTCTCATACGTAGTTGACTTACCGACTTGATGGTAACGTAGAGCGCAACCCACTATTACTTGCTGGTGACGATTGCGGAAAACACCCTGTGCACGATAAATGCAAACAACCAAGAACCAACTAACCAAGGCGAGGCATGCGTTTTTCTTGTCATGTTTTAGTATGCATGTGACCATCAATCTCGAGCCATATTGCGTAATATTGCGAAGTAATATTGCCGTATTGCGAAGACCCTTTACGCTTCACGCCTGTACGCCACACCGCCTTCACGTCTGCGATTTTTCTAGTGATTTATTTCTAACGAAAAACCCTAGAATCTTCGATTTTTTTTCAAGACGGTTACCCTAGAAAATAGTTTGCGTATAAGGGTAAAGGGGGTACTGATGGGTATAAGTCCGCGAAATCCGAAACGCTAGATGGCGCTGATCCTAAAATGCACTAGCCTACAGATTATATAGTGTCGTTCTAGTGTATATAAGTCACGTACAGTACATGCAAGGGGATTGGTTATTGGTGGAATTTTACCGTGGAAATACACATTTACACATTCTTACATATACTACCTACCAACCAAGAGTACCAATGAAGTATCGACGTTACTCTATGTACAATATAACTATATGTAACCAATAACCATACTATACTATTACTATCTACTACTTTACTACTACACGTAGTACGTAGTATACTATACTAATGTAGCGTACTACGCGCGTCCTTGGGGTGTTTAAGCGGAGGAAGAAAAGGAACTCCCTTTCGGACCATTAAAGTTTTTTCTCCCCCTCCTCTTCTGACCTCAAGAAAAGGTGGCCCCGTAACAACGTGTATAATATAGCCTCGCGCGCGCGACAACGACGAATAAGTGCGACGTATAGATATAAATTTTAATGTGACTGCAGCGTTTTCAGCTTGGTTGGCTCGATACACGCGCGCGCTTTGTACATATTGCTTACTTTTATTTTTTTCTTGTTCTAGTCAAACTTTATGAAATCAAGTACAAGTAAATCACTAAGTAGTTAGGCAACGTAACAATTATTCGCACACCCATTTATTAATTCCATACCAACAATTGTATTAAATAAAAATTGGAGTTCAGACATTCGGGAGTTTCGCCGTGCACCGGAATATATTTGCCACATATACGCATTTATACACGACCGTGGGTGTATATTTATACGCCTCATACGTAAAACGTAGGTACGTCGTATTAAAGTGAAACTCGTCAACGTAGTCATCGGCAAGACTTTACGGGGGTTCACATTAAGTATGAACGTCGCCATCAGTGCATCACCCGCAGGTATGGACATTAGTATATTGTTCTTGCTCATATTGACTCTTTCATGCATCTCCCCTTGTAAAATTCTGTAAAGCGAAAATTCTCTTCCTGAAGCTTTAAATACGAGAAAGATTAGTACGCTTATTATATTCGTGTGTGCATCAGAACAAAATCGTGATGATCATGTGGTCGGCGCATTTTTTAATACATGATGATACCTATATCACATAGTTACGTCCGTGTGAATGAATGCGCTCGTGATATATATATATATATAGCAAGAAAAATTAAGCCACTCGAAGAGCTTGTCGCGACATGTCTCCGCTTATGCTAATGTGTGCACGATGATGTACGTATAGCCAACAACGAAATTATGCCAGTTGGCAGCAAAGCAGCGAACAAAATTTTACCGAAAGCACGCGCTCCTGCGGAGTTCATAGCTTGTTCATCGGTTTCATCCGGTGCATGCATGACCGAAGTTGCTGTTCCTCTCTATATAAGCTGCTGCAGAAAAAGAGAAAGAGCCGAGAGAAGAGAAGAAAAAGAGGAGAGACACACGAACGAGACATTTGTATAAGAGTGTGCGCGGTGTATGTGTGTGTGTGCGTGTCCAACGATAAAAGGATGAGGAATTGTACGGAGGAGGAGGATAACAGGAATGCTAACCGGAGTCGTGTGCTATTTGCAGGTACACTTAATCAAGGTGGCTTCAACAAACGAAAGGCATCGGACGATGGTAAGCTTTGTTTTTTTTCTCTTCATTTTGTAATATTACTTCTGTTTAATATTACACGATTGTATAATAAATCATGTGTGCTTGTATTATTTTTATCGCATTTAAAAAAAGAATACGAACAAAAGAACGACCGTTGGAGTTTTGTGTGCAGCTGATAGCTTGACACGAGCCCTAGCATTATTACGTATTCTGCACTTAAATTCACGTATGCAACATTTTTTTTTTTTTTTTTAATAGAATATACAGAACGTGAGCTTCAAACTGACCGCAAGAGATCAAGGTACTCGTGGTACTTTACTCTGGAGGAGGAGTCTGAGCCAAGCAGTGAGGATGATGAGTCCATCTACACTGCACAGGGATACGAGACTGGTAATAAAAATTCACACTCTTCCGCAACACTAATTGTTTATCCTGTTATCTGCTTTTGCGGTTTTTTAACCATCTTGATAATTTGTCCGAAATTTAATGCAGAGTTTGCACGAGATACCTCGGATACTTCAACACATACATGGGTGAGTGAAAGCGACTTTGAGGAACGCGATATTCCACTCCTAGAGTATGAAATACATTCGTCCTCTGATAGTAATCATCTATACAACAGCCTGTCATCTTCATCGGAACCAGAGGTATGTTTCAATTCATAACAGTTTGATGAACTAATAAAATTACCAATTGAATGCATCTGTATATACGTTAATCAAATTTTTCATTTCAGAATATTGTGGCTGTGGAATTCATAACTTTCTGTGACTCGGATGGTATGGCTGATGACAGTGATGTTTCAAGATGTTCTACAGATGACGAAGCAAGAGTTTCAGCTTTTAAGATTTGTGTGCAATGCAAAAATCCAAATAATAATTCTTTGTATCAGTATTGTTGGAAATGTTTTCAGGTATGATATCTCTACAATTATTATTAACAAAAATCTATTAAGCTCTACTTTAAATGATAACTTGTCGTTTAAACTTTTCATGATGTGTAAAATGAGTACCAAGGCTTAATTAATCTAATCGGTTTGATTGAATAACTAATTAATGACGCTTTTTGATTAAAAAAATTACTCTTTTTATACTTTTGTTATTGAAACAAATTTTATTGTGTATATGAAACATCTAATATTTTGTGGGAAAAAACTTCATGATGCACTAGAAGTCGGTAAATAAGGGTTCGTATAACTTAACGGATGATCATTTTTCACTATATGGTATATACTTTCAAACGAGCGCTGAATGCAAGTAATGAGTCATCTCTCCATATACGCCAAACGCACAGCTGCGCGCGTCACAAATTTCTTTGCCCAGAAACACGTTTAGACTTGTCTCAAAGAACAAAGCTATACGCGACAACCCGCAGGCAACACTTTGACTTAACAGCAAGCAGAGACGCGTCCTAACGCGTTTTGTTTATCAACAAAAGCTTTTAAACTATCTGCTCCTAAATAAAAAAATTCCGCGAAATGTCGCTTTTATTAAATTTAAAATTAAGTTTAATTAGCTGATTGTTTCGATGTATTAGGAGAGAAAAACGTATTTTCCACGGCCAAGGAGGAAACCCCGATCAACAAGTAAATCAAGTAAAAAATCGGACAGAATAACGACGACGACGAATACGGTAACGGTAATACCGAGTTCACAGGACTTCTCGGAAGTAGACTCTGGAATAGTTTCAAGTCAGTGCGAGTTAGAATCAACGACGACGGCAATATCGAATTCACAGGACCTCTCGGAAATGGACCTGGGAACTCTTTCGAGCCAGGGCGACATAGACGCAGCAATAACGTCAGGTCAAGAGTTGTCACTTCGGAACAGCGGTGATATGTCCTCTGCGTCCGATCAGAAGGCCAGCGAAGTGTTGACCACCTTAGAGTTACCCCAGGAAAATAGTGCGCTTCTCTCTCAAAACAGTGAACCATTGATCTTCCTATCCAAAAACTGTGAGGAGTCGACATTGGAATCGCAGATAAGCGAACCAACGCTATGTGTCTCTCAGAACAGCGAGTTTCTGAGCACCACTAATCTGACCAGAACGACATCTAGTCAAGAGATAACTGACGAAGTCGACTCTGGTGTACTATCAAAGGATGAACACTCGTCCTCGCAAGAAAGTGTATGTTTTTACGTAACAACTTTTTATTTTATAAATTAGTTATAAACATTATTTTAGAGGCACTTGATAATTTACTCGAACTGTTCATAATATTTAAATATTGCGTCATACATTCTTTATTCTGTTGTAACAGAAGATTTTTCTAAAATTCGTAGAAAAAGCTTCACATTAGTAAAATTTACTTGAAGATACCTTTAATATAATAAATAATGAAATATGTTAAAAATAAAATAATTTTTTTCTGCTACAGGCTACCACCGAAAAACAAAATGATGAAGAGGAAGGTGCAGAGATTACGATAAGATCTTTGCTAAAGCGACTGCAAAAGCTAGAGAAGAAAGGCTCTGCAACGTCGATGCTGTGCATAACCTGCTTCGAAAATAAAAGGGATAGCGTCTTTAATCATGGCAAGACTGGACATCAGTGCTGCTGCTACAAGTGTGCAAAAAAGGTCTGCATGTCAAATGGCAATCGTTGTCCTATTTGCAAACGTAGAGTCAGTACTATAACGAAAATTTTTTTAGATTAACCCTAAATCTCTTGTCTGGGTAGATTTCAATTTGCAACTTATAGACGTTTATTAAAATTTTCAAATTATTTCCCATGAGTCGTTGAAACCGAAAATACAAATGTTAGCAAATGATAAAAAAAAAAAAAATACTAAGAATGAGTGTACATACAAGGTACCTACAGCGAATTGTACAGAAGCAAATCAACAGATTTCCAAAAAACTACTTCACGCTCTTTTAACTTGAATTATATATAAAAAAAAAAATACATGATCTTGGAAAAATTTTATCAATAATGCACTTAAATTTTTGATGAATTTTACTATTTTCATCAATCATTTAAGAGAGTAATAGAACGAAAGTTGTGTACTGCTTAGTAAAGAATACAATCTTGTAAATAAACGATTGAAATTCTTTCAAGAACATAATGTTGCATGCACTTTAAATATATTTATTGCCAATTTTTTAAAACGTCCAGTCTGGTTTCACAATTTTTTACACTAAAAGGGAACAAAAAAAATTTCCTGTCACCAGACAGCTGTTAAATTACAATTGTTGAACTAATTTAATTAAAAATTTGCAACAAATTCAGGAAATTAGATTGCATGAATTAAGGTGTGATCTAGTTAACATTCAATTTTATCTTTAAAGTGTCTTTTGATAAAATTAAAATGTTATTCATTCTTGTAAAATTGAAATGTGATTCAAGTTTGATGATTCAAGTTTCAAGAACATATATTGATTTCCTAATTTGTGTTACATTTTTCAAAGAAATTAGGGATTTATAATCATGTTAAATACAAGGTCAATTACAACTTGTATAAAATATTGTGTTGCTCATTCCAATTTTGTATGTTTTGCTAAACGTTAAGCAAGGTTTTGTACAAATTTTTACCAATTTTTATCAATGAATTTTTTTTCCATTTATCTATTTAATTAAAAAGATTTTTTTTTTTAATACGAAATTAGTAATACTCTGTCTAGTGGACTTGCATTTCAGCAAAAAAATTTCTGGTAATCTTTTACAAATAAAAAGAATTTTCTAAAAATCGTTTTTCGATTTTTATATGTTTATTAGTCCCACGTGAACTTATTCTGAAATAAAATCAAGTTCTAATGATTATTGGTATGCATTTGTTTCAAAATCTTGATTAACAATATTAGTAGATACACAAAATGTACCAGACTTAAGTCTGTCGTTCAAAACAATTTCGATTCTGTAAAACGTGTAAATTATTTTTTAATACAATGCAAAGAAGAGGAATCAATGTATAACTTATTGCAAAAGCTTTCCTTGAAGTTTTTTTTTTTTTTTAATTTTCACAAAAATAAGATTTCAACACACTTTAACAATGAGGTATCAAAAATTATACAATGCACTAGAAGTCGGTAAATAAGGGTTCGTATAACTTAACGGATGATCATTTTTCACTATATGGTATATACTTTCAAACGAGCGCTGAATGCAAGTAATGAGTCATCTCTCCATATACGCCAAACGCACAGCTGCGCGCGTCACAAATTTCTTTGCCCAGAAACACGTTTAGACTTGTCTCAAAGAACAAAGCTATACGCGACAACCCGCAGGCAACACTTTGACTTAACAGCAAGCAGAGACGCGTCCTAACGCGTTTTGTTTATCAACAAAAGCTTTTAAACTATCTGCTCCTAAATAAAAAAATTCCGCGAAATGTCGCTTTTATTAAATTTAAAATTAAGTTTAATTAGCTGATTGTTTCGATGTATTAGGAGAGAAAAACGTATTTTCCACGGCCAAGGAGGAAACCCCGATCAACAAGTAAATCAAGTAAAAAATCGGACAGAATAACGACGACGACGAATACGGTAACGGTAATACCGAGTTCACAGGACTTCTCGGAAGTAGACTCTGGAATAGTTTCAAGTCAGTGCGAGTTAGAATCAACGACGACGGCAATATCGAATTCACAGGACCTCTCGGAAATGGACCTGGGAACTCTTTCGAGCCAGGGCGACATAGACGCAGCAATAACGTCAGGTCAAGAGTTGTCACTTCGGAACAGCGGTGATATGTCCTCTGCGTCCGATCAGAAGGCCAGCGAAGTGTTGACCACCTTAGAGTTACCCCAGGAAAATAGTGCGCTTCTCTCTCAAAACAGTGAACCATTGATCTTCCTATCCAAAAACTGTGAGGAGTCGACATTGGAATCGCAGATAAGCGAACCAACGCTATGTGTCTCTCAGAACAGCGAGTTTCTGAGCACCACTAATCTGACCAGAACGACATCTAGTCAAGAGATAACTGACGAAGTCGACTCTGGTGTACTATCAAAGGATGAACACTCGTCCTCGCAAGAAAGTGTATGTTTTTACGTAACAACTTTTTATTTTATAAATTAGTTATAAACATTATTTTAGAGGCACTTGATAATTTACTCGAACTGTTCATAATATTTAAATATTGCGTCATACATTCTTTATTCTGTTGTAACAGAAGATTTTTCTAAAATTCGTAGAAAAAGCTTCACATTAGTAAAATTTACTTGAAGATACCTTTAATATAATAAATAATGAAATATGTTAAAAATAAAATAATTTTTTTCTGCTACAGGCTACCACCGAAAAACAAAATGATGAAGAGGAAGGTGCAGAGATTACGATAAGATCTTTGCTAAAGCGACTGCAAAAGCTAGAGAAGAAAGGCTCTGCAACGTCGATGCTGTGCATAACCTGCTTCGAAAATAAAAGGGATAGCGTCTTTAATCATGGCAAGACTGGACATCAGTGCTGCTGCTACAAGTGTGCAAAAAAGGTCTGCATGTCAAATGGCAATCGTTGTCCTATTTGCAAACGTAGAGTCAGTACTATAACGAAAATTTTTTTAGATTAACCCTAAATCTCTTGTCTGGGTAGATTTCAATTTGCAACTTATAGACGTTTATTAAAATTTTCAAATTATTTCCCATGAGTCGTTGAAACCGAAAATACAAATGTTAGCAAATGATAAAAAAAAAAAAAATACTAAGAATGAGTGTACATACAAGGTACCTACAGCGAATTGTACAGAAGCAAATCAACAGATTTCCAAAAAACTACTTCACGCTCTTTTAACTTGAATTATATATAAAAAAAAAAATACATGATCTTGGAAAAATTTTATCAATAATGCACTTAAATTTTTGATGAATTTTACTATTTTCATCAATCATTTAAGAGAGTAATAGAACGAAAGTTGTGTACTGCTTAGTAAAGAATACAATCTTGTAAATAAACGATTGAAATTCTTTCAAGAACATAATGTTGCATGCACTTTAAATATATTTATTGCCAATTTTTTAAAACGTCCAGTCTGGTTTCACAATTTTTTACACTAAAAGGGAACAAAAAAAATTTCCTGTCACCAGACAGCTGTTAAATTACAATTGTTGAACTAATTTAATTAAAAATTTGCAACAAATTCAGGAAATTAGATTGCATGAATTAAGGTGTGATCTAGTTAACATTCAATTTTATCTTTAAAGTGTCTTTTGATAAAATTAAAATGTTATTCATTCTTGTAAAATTGAAATGTGATTCAAGTTTGATGATTCAAGTTTCAAGAACATATATTGATTTCCTAATTTGTGTTACATTTTTCAAAGAAATTAGGGATTTATAATCATGTTAAATACAAGGTCAATTACAACTTGTATAAAATATTGTGTTGCTCATTCCAATTTTGTATGTTTTGCTAAACGTTAAGCAAGGTTTTGTACAAATTTTTACCAATTTTTATCAATGAATTTTTTTTCCATTTATCTATTTAATTAAAAAGATTTTTTTTTTTAATACGAAATTAGTAATACTCTGTCTAGTGGACTTGCATTTCAGCAAAAAAATTTCTGGTAATCTTTTACAAATAAAAAGAATTTTCTAAAAATCGTTTTTCGATTTTTATATGTTTATTAGTCCCACGTGAACTTATTCTGAAATAAAATCAAGTTCTAATGATTATTGGTATGCATTTGTTTCAAAATCTTGATTAACAATATTAGTAGATACACAAAATGTACCAGACTTAAGTCTGTCGTTCAAAACAATTTCGATTCTGTAAAACGTGTAAATTATTTTTTAATACAATGCAAAGAAGAGGAATCAATGTATAACTTATTGCAAAAGCTTTCCTTGAAGTTTTTTTTTTTTTTTAATTTTCACAAAAATAAGATTTCAACACACTTTAACAATGAGGTATCAAAAATTATACATTAATTTTTAGCAAAAGATAATTTACGCGCACAAATGTGAATCATGTGAGAGTATGGGCGAAAAATCGGTATAAAGATATTTTGCGTTGTCATTTAAACCAATAGTAAAGGTAAACGAGAGATAACAATTACATGGTTTTTCTTAATTATTATTCTATAATTTACACTGACTTAAAATGAGTTTCACTAGTATGTTTACATGGTGTTTTCATTGCAGTTACATTGTGACGATGCAGTGACGTTGAGTTTTTATTGTACTAAGTTTTATGTTGACAAATTTGCTAACGTTAACAAAACCAATTTGCTCTATATCCATGCAAGCACTTGATTATAATTAAAAATATTGTTGTTCAATTCCAACTACCGATTTTTCATAAAAACTCTAAATATTGCATTCATAATAAAAATGAGTTCATGATAACTCAAGAGGATTGTAAGTTTGTAAAATTAATTAGCTAATGTATAGAACACAATCATGATTGTAAAAATAAATTTTCATATTTTTTGCTAATCACACATATTTTGTCTTTTTAAAAAAGTACAGTGAACTTAATGTGAAATAATGCATCTTTTCATAAAATAGTAACTTTTTTTGTTCAATAGTAACAAATACTAACATTGATAATACTAAGTAAAAAATTTTATTGACTGTTTTTACAGTTGATTTAATGTGTGATTATTATTATTTTATTAAAAAAAATTTTTTTAATTATGTTACATCATTGATTGCACAAACCATAAACAACATCCATTCTACAAAACTTTTAATTCCATAATTAACTTACTTGTTGTGAATTTACATACTTATTTTTTACTCCAAACATTGTTACGTCATGAAATCATTCTCATTCACGTAGAATTGTATGGTAATTATATTGTTATAAGTTATTGATTTTATTTTTTAATGGATTTTCTTCTATGGTTTCAATCCTTGATAAAACTTAATTTCATAATATTGAAGCTAAAATTTTTGGAACACTTACGTCAACATCGTACACTGCACTGTTTTCAACTTGATCACTCCATTAAAATTGTCGTTACAGTCCTTATGAATTGACCTAACCGCAGATTTAAAAGATATAAGAAAAAACGACATGGCCCTTCCTTGAAGGTGCAGAATTTTCTACTTGAAGGTGTTATTGGTAATTTGTAACTGAAAAAAATACCATCTCAGTTTTTTTGTCTCAACTATTCTTTTCTTTTACAGGTACTTATAGTTAATGAGTAGACAATAAACGAATAAGGCAAATGAGTGAGTGAGTAGCACTTGCCATGATTTACTGCGCTGGACTTCAGATTTCGTTTTGAACCAACGAAAATCTTAGACTTCAGAGGACCATCAATGCTATCAGGTATGATAGACATCCTGAAATAGGCAAACGTTGTCTTAACATAAAAAAACTTTTTTACAAAGTTATCAAACATAATACCAGAAGGTGAGTGTAATTCTTTTTGAAGGAATGACTTTTGGTTGACGAAGTTGGAGAAGCACTTAATTTTACACCAATATTTTGATAAAAAGCTGGGGCTAATATGTTAAGCTGGAGAAGTCGGTGTTAATTTTAAGACTTAGAAATAAAATATTTTTGCTCTATCTAATTGAAACTATAACCATCCTAAACAAAAGGAATGAGTACAAAGTATTAATCATTAAGAATTATGAATTTGTCATTCAAAGAAATTATTTTATCGAATTCCCACTAACAGATATGCCTTACCTTATAGGTAACAACTTCTTCAAGACAACTTTGGTATCATTACTACGGTGTCATCTTCAACTTTGCTCAACCACGACGTGTTTGACAAGCCTTTCGGAAATTAACAGGGCCATCACAGTACCGACACTTCACAATTTTGTGCATACTGTATGCACGTCTCCTCAACATTTGGTATTTGCACACCGTTGACGTAGTGTCATCACGATGTCTGCGTACCACAACTGCTGCAAATCTTGCGCAAATCTCGCGCGCGTCCAGCTCGTCGTTCTGCGCTTCTCCAGCGCAGTTTGCGTGTTTCATCGTTGCGCTGAGCAATGCTCGCGCCATCGTCGGACTCATTTTTATGAGAACCTTCGAATATGCGTTTTTAAACACTGTTTTAAAACGAAAGCGATGAAATTGTGGCAATCGATGATTCTTTAACGAATTCATTAATTGATACATCCACAACGCGATGAGCTGTGTGCTTGCGCTGCCAGCCGACTTCAAATTGCAGATTGCAAGGTTTGCCACTGAAGTTTGTGCATGCTGCCTTCAACGACTGAATGACTGCAGCAGTGAGGCAAGTACAAAAACTAATATCTAAATAAAATGATTGTACACATATATATTCTCTGTTTTTTATAATTTATAATTTCAGTCGTTGTATAAACCAGGAGTGACTTACTTTTATTTGAACTAACTATTTCGTTTTTTAATATTTTCAGTGCAGTTGTAGTTCCAGAAACATTTTTATTTACAAAGTAACTATTTTTTTATGTAATTTTTTTTGCGCATACAAAAAATTTTTGTTTCACCATGCAACTTACTGTTTAGATAGCATGTCCCATCTAACATTTCTTTGATTTATTTCTGTTATCCAGTTTTATATACATTTTGAATGGAAATCAAGTTTTACATAGTCCTAAGAATACGATGTCAATGCTGAATTATTTACTGTTAGTAATATTTATTTATACATAATTGAAATTATCACAAAATTAACACCTATAAAATCCATACCACCATTTTTTTTCTTAGTATTTAAGTAGCGTTACGAGAAATGTGGAGAAATTTTATCCTAATTTAATTTTTTCAACAATTTTTTACTTGTGATAGAAATTTCAAATTTTTAAATTAACATTTTCCTTTTTTTTTACACATGTCAACAAATAGCCCCAATAATTTTTGCACCCATTATTTCTGAAAAGTTAATTATAGCTCAAATGTAAATCGTTAAAGAATTAAGTGAAGTACTTACCTACATATGTGTGTCCACGTAAAAATCTTTTAGTTCTAGACTATATATGAATATAAGGTTTATTAGGTTCTTGTGTATCCAGATAGGATTGTACTTAGCTGTTTTCCCTTTTAGAGTATAAAATCAGTAGAGATTTTTATATGTTCTATCCGTAGGTGCTGAATATTTTTGTAATAATTGTATCCCAAAAAAAAATCGCTACTGTGGAAATATACTATTATTAAAATTTCTTTTTGACTACACCCTAGATGCGGAAAACTCATCTGATTTTTTTCAGGCGCGTTATGAATGTTTTTCTATGTTTAAAACTCCAGAGGGTTTCGTTTTGTAGAAAATAACCGGCACCAGTCGGTATTGTCGGTAAGGTCACTGATGTAACATTAAAAAGGTTATATATACTGTCTTGTTTGGGTGTTACATTATTGGCTTTAAAATTAATGACTTTAGAGACACTAGAATGCCTAAGTACAGTTATTTGAGACGGCAAGAATCGCACCATATTAAATAGATGCTTTTAAATTGTTAAATACGGCAAAACTATCAGGTACAGGTACTCGAACAAAGTGGCTATTCAGAGCTGTGAAAATCCAAATAGGTTTATCCTGACCACATGACATTTGCCAAGAACTCTTAGAGATTCTATTAACAAACTGTTAGAGAATAATCATGCGAAACTGAAATATTTTATTCATTAACTTGTTTACCCATATGTAAAATTTAAATCAAGATTTTCGGTAAAATATTAAGAAATGGTAGTTTTCGTAACTGGTGGCGCATGTCGACGAGGCAAGCACCAGATCCAAAGAACTTCTTACCAGGGGCAAACCCTATTTTTCCTACCGAGGGCACATCCGACTGATCCGACCCTCAAAGACGCCCGAAGTAAGAAAAATAGTTTTGAAAGTATTTTTGTAACTAGGTATAAGATATTATTCAGTTACCCATTATTATTTTATCACAAATCAGACAACTAATTGCCTATTGAAAACAAGTTAATTTAGGGTTAATTAAATCGAGTAAATTAATTGTCTACCAGACTTGCAGACAACCAATGTGAATGAACGCAATAATGGATTTAACGACCCCGAGTATAGGTTGTACAGGAAACACCAATCTTATGACTGTAATAGCCAACTTGGTGATGTTCTGATAAAATACAGATAAATTTTTTTTTTTTTTTTCAGTAATTTATTTACAAATATTTATTTAACGTTCGTTTGAATGCATACTTGGTAACAAAAGGTGTATTGCACAGTTATTAATTATCTAATATAACTTATTTTTTCTTTGGCAGCAAAAACTAAAAATATGTAACAGTATGCCTTCGCGTGAATAAATATATTATATTATAGCAGTACGATCGGTTATTAAGAACTTGTGATTAAAGTCTCCGCACATATTTATGCGCGTTACATAGTGTACATGTCATGTAACACTTGCACATGTCGTACCTCTTTTTTTTTTTACGTATAAATACCTGTACTTACAATAGTTACAATACAGCATATTATTTTCATACGTATACGCTATTCAGTCGTGAAAAAATTACTCATTTCGTTTGCACGTATCTTTACTCGAACAATGCTATTAAATTATTATTCCATGGACCAACTTGAGTCGTCAAGCAACGAGTTTTATTGCACAAAACCAAGGTTTCGAAACAATAACCTTAGGAATGAAATAAAAAATGGATTATGTCGTGAGTTAGTCATACCAAAGACAATAATTTTGCTCTTAAGCACAATGATATAACGGACGTATTGCACGATTGCTTTTATATATAATATTTAAGGGTTTGTAAGTGTACACGATATCAAAGCATATGGTTGAGTACAGGCAGAGTCATGATTTTTTATTTGCTCAAACGCTTGCAAAATAAGTTTGTTAAAAAACGCTCTCAATTCATCGGGGTGTGAATTCAATACCTGTTATATATATACAATGCAGCCTCAAATTTTACTTGCGGTTTTGTGTTTTTTCCGAAAGTCAAAAGCTCGTCCAAAGCGTGTTTTGACTTTCGTAACACGTGAATTTATTATTTGACGATTGGCGCATCGACTGGATTTTTTACTCCAAAAATTCTGAAGTACCCGTTTGAGGTAAAAGTATGTATTGATTTATCATCCAGGTACAAATTAAACGTAAGTTATTGCAACTATAAAAAGTTTTCAATTGAGATATCAAACACGAAATCAACAAACCAGTTTACGTATGCATATGTACCTAATACTTACACAAAAAGTATAATATAGAATTAGAGAGCCATAAATGACGTACATATGTACATGTCATCGTGCGTACGACAAAAACGATACAAATTCATCAAACCCTAAAGTTACAAGCACAATTTTACGAAGCAATAATTAAATACGAAGATAACAATTTTCGCGTGCAACTTGAAGGAACGTCTAATACATGGGGTAAGGGGTGTCATCGAACAATCACAATTTAAAAGCACATCTCGCACTCGAGCGCAATTTTTTTACTATTTATGTTTGTCTTTTCAACTACTCATTCTCATTTCATATCGCGATTTTGTCTCCAATAAGTTTTTTTATGTACACGTACAAAATAACGAGCGCAGGCCTACACTATCATAGTTACATTTATGTACTATAAATATATACCGATTGCACCATTAGGAAAAAAGCGTCACAAATATATTCACGCGTATCTGCGAGTGAATTGTACATTGTTTTTTCTTTTTGTTTTCTTTTACAATTATTACTTGATGGCCTTCTTTTTTATCCAATACCATCTACAACACTAATCTCTCATACACGTCGTACGAAAAATCGTTTCCTATTAAAGTATAAGATATCAATTGGATAATGACTAGCTAAGCTTACAATATGCAAGGGATAACAAACTATACAATTGGTACATCTTATCGTATTTTTGTCATTTCACTTGACGCCTCTTCGCGCCATTTATAAATACGCTCGAACCGATGAGTTACTCATATTTATAGGGTAAGATAGTTTGAATCAAAGCATCTTGGACGGTTAAAAGCTCCTGTAAATGAAGAAGTTCCAGTAATTATTATTATTATTATTATTATTTTTTTTTTTTTTTAACTGCATTGTTTGTTGCGTATTGTATACCTATACGAAACACAACGCGAGTCATTGTCCCATTTCGTGGCTTTTAAACTTGTCTCTCGTGGTTTCAAGTGGTTACACAATTTCCATTACAATACATATACATCCGTGGCATATTGAACAACTTAGGTTTTCATTTCGACAATTCTAATTTCTTTTATCGTATTGTACGAAAAAAAAAAAAAAAAGAATTTGTTTCGATGATAACCATAAACATTTATGATGATGTATACAAAAATAAGTCGTGTTCGTTACACTATCCGATTTTTAATAATTTGGACCAACCGTCATGTCTATTATAACACTAAGACAGTACTTTTATATGCTTGTATAACTGTTTTGCCACCAAAAGAAGATCCTGACAAAAATACTTTAATTTCATTTCTCACTTAATTGAAAACAAGTTGCAAAAATGCATTATTATAAAGTGTATTTATGCCTCAATGTACACAACGAAAAATTCCTCATTTTCATCTAACTTTTCGGGCAAAAAAAAGAAAAAATTATATGCATGTAACAAGTATTACGTCAACTGCGTGTATAAAGATTGCACTGAATCGCCTACATCTACATAAAATCTTACAATCGTAATATAAGTATAACAAGTAACATTTTGGAATCGCCACTCCAGCGTTCCTTCATTTTAATTGTTACGACAGTTGATACTCGATAAAATCCATATGTAATCGTCATTTGTTGTTTATACACTTACATCAATTAAAAAAAAAAAAAATTGTTCACGGGCACGTAACACGCATTTTACCTGTTGGAGCGCGATCAAATGCTTACAGGTATCTTCTTTCTGTTCTTTCTTGTATGCTTTTCCTTGTATACTTATTTGAGTCTCTGCGTGACGCTCGCCAGGGCAACGGCAAACGCTTGAATAGCACTGAATGGGTACTGAAAGTCCAGCGTGTAAGCGTTCCCTTGAATTCTTCCGAACTGCATGACCTACACAAATATCAATGTATGACTTTTAATCGACACAAATCTTCCTCTTTCCGTTACTTCAAATCTTTTTCACTGTTTAATTTCTAATATTGTGAATGTATCAATTTTATTACAATGATTTTGTTCATCATTTATCGTGTCCGTATTAAAATTTCAGTCAAATATTTGAAAGCTCATAACAAATCTTTGATACATACTTTTTTTTTTACAAAATACGTTTAAACAAAAAAAAAAATATATTCACACCATCGTCCCATTTGCCATTTGCGGGTGTGCGAGCTTAAAAGTCGCTTTATTATAACTTTTGACAATTCGGTCATCCATCGAATAAAAAAAAATACACCTACATGTGCATTTCCCATAGAGATATAATAGTTATATGAACTTTTATGTCATGTTATATGGTACATATCCCGACCGGTTTACACTAGATACAATATATGAAAAAAGATATATCTGTGTCAGCAGTTTGGTACACGGAATACAAATACACAATTATGTATGATACTTTAGAGTTGTGCGGAGTGGAGTCAACCTGAGCGCTTATTCGAAAATTAATCAAATAAGATATATTATATAGACACGTGTGATTTTTATAAACTGTCGGCAACCTTACCGACTGTGCAGACCAGATGTTGACTGGATTTTCTCACAAGGAAACCCCTGGAGTTTTAGACATAATACCCGAAAAAATCCATCGTGTTACTCGTTTTAAAAATAATAAATCGTAATTCCTTCATATCCCTCGCTGGTTGTATTATCGACCGAAATATACTCAAAAATCGCTACCAACCACATCTCTTCTGAACATGTAATTAATACATACCTGATTGCCTCGAAATTCGATCTGAAAATTCTTGGCGCTCTCCTGGGTGACGCGGCCCCCGAAATCGAGCTGGTAAACCTGATTAGCCTCGTTCCACATTGGCGCCTTGTTGTGCATTATTATCTCACGTCGCATCGCCTCGCTCGGGTAACTGCCTCCTCTTTGCTTCAGCTGACAACATCAATACACATGTAGGTACGTTAAGGAAAAAAAAAAAAAAAAAAAAAGGAATAGTAAAAAATTACTGTGCAAAAATGGTAAATGTAGTATTTAGGGATTTTTTACTTTTGGCAAACTAAATTTTTACCATTCAATGGCTGCGGAAACTACTTATTTCTACCGTATGTTGTGCTTATATTAACGATAAAAATTACTGTTTAAGTGAGAGGAAATGAGTGTAAAAATGGTAAAAAGTCCCTAGCAATCGGAAAAGGCTACCAGATTATATTTTTACCATTTTATATGACGGTGATTTTTTTTTTTTTTTTTTTTTTTTTTTTATTCACCCNACATTAGTGGACTCTGAAGGATGTGTTGATTGCATACGCGATTCAATCATATTTAAATTGCGTTTTTTTTTCTTTTCGTCCGATGTCAATTTAAAATATTTCTCAGCTATAATACATATTTGTTTCTTTCTCTGATTGGTGACCGTGTACGTTGTTGGAAGAGAAATTTATAGGAAATTCGTTGGTATTTTGGCGGCAATTTGTTGGTTTTTTTGTTTTTCATTTTTGTATGATTCGCAAATGTTTGGTTTTTTTTCACTGGATACACACTCTTGCTAACAAGGTCTGAACAATACGAGGGTTTTTGACTTTCCTTTACGTTGTTACAATCGAGCTTTTTTTTTTTTTTTACTGGTGTGTATCTCTTCTGCCATGTTAGTGCTAGCATTCACTAATGATATTGTGTAGTGTTTAAGTAGCAGGGTTGCTCCATTGTTCTGGCAATTTATATTTTATGTCCACTGTGGATTTTGAGGAATTTCATCATAGGTGTCTGCTTAGGATGTTCTGGCTTCGTTTATGAGACTGATGACTCATATTATAGGGTTTTTTCCATGTAAATACGTATGTATGTACATATGTAATGTATGTATATGTTTTTTTTTGTTTTTGTTTTGTTGAGAACTATCCCCTATAGGCTCTGCTATGTTGTATTACTATGCATGTAGATGCTATTGAAATTGTCATGGTGAAATGCTGTCTCAGATTTAATTGTGATTTTGATCTCTTATACAGTGAAGGAAGCCTTATCTTATATGGCTTCCAAATTAAATGTGTGTGAGTATTTCCCTTGTTCAGTTTTATTTTAGTCTCATTATGTAAACGAATTTCCAGAATTTCCAGTAGTTGTCATCCAATAACCGCTGATTTTGATAGTAGGTAAGGAATATCAGAATTGATCATGAATACAGTACTTGACGGATTATAAAGATTTAGGATGGAGTAATGGTTATTTTAAAAACTACTTAAATAAGAGTGAAAAACTGACTATATTACAATATTATTCCTACAGACTGTCTAACAGACCAAACGAAATAAATTTTAATTCATTATTAAATGGAGGACGGCTGGCACAACAATTTTTTATACATTCTTAAATCGTGATTGAATATAACCGTTTAAATTATTTGAGTTACAGTCAAAAAATTTAATAATTGAACGTTATCAAAGTTTATTGGACGCAATCGTTAAAAGTTTTTCCAACATATCCAAAAATTTCGAGACAGGAAAAAATTGGAAATCTTTTTATACCTATCTACATAGATTGGAAGTCCAAGATACATGCAAAAACATTATTAAGATACAATGTCTACGATAAGAAAATGCGGTGGATAAGATTTATTTGTAACAGTTACATGTAATCTTAAATGGAAAAAACTAAAGTTAATTTTATCAAAATCTCCTAAAAATACGACACCAAATGATATTTCAAATGTAACTGCTAGACTATTACGCACAGAATTAATGTGTTATGTGGGATTCTCGGTGCGGGCATAAATAGAAGCGTGACTTGTTGTTAACTTATGCTTTATTAGAATTACTTATATTTGAGGGAAGTTGTGTGTGTATTCTCGTCTCACGGACTTCGTCTGTCCACTCTCGCGTTTCTCCCTGATCTCTCCATCCTTTTCTCTCCCTTTCCTATCACCTCTCTTCTCTATTCCCCTACCTTTCAGGCCCAAGCTTGCAGAGGCGCACGTACGCATAGCTATATGCTCTGGTACGTAACACGTACGAGGCCGCGACGCCGACGTCCTCGGCGGCGATTTTCCTTTTGATGTGTATGTCGGTGTTATGTTGTTTGTGTTGTATAGCATTTTCCGGTTAGAGAAAAGAGGGTGGTTTGAAGTGCTCTATCCCTATTTCCTCTACTGGTTTCATTTGCTGTATTTTATGTGTATACATTTTTTGTTGATTGTTTGCACGTTTTCATTGTACAAAAAAAATTTATTCTAGAATTCGCTTAGTTACTTATATTATATAATCGCTTAACTCCATTTTTCTTACTTTTTATTTATGTACATATGCACTTTACAGGATTATGATAAGAACTTATTCTCGCATTGGATAATAATTAATATAATTGTCAGTTTCATGTTTTTTTTTTCATGTCAAGAATGTCGAGGGTCAAGGACTTACTGCTTTAACCTATTTATAATATTGTTATTTGTGTCTGTCTTTCTACTAATCTTACTACAAATTTTATCGTTGCTTTAGTTATTCTCGTCATTATTTTTATTACCTACAAAATTTTTCACTTTTTTTTTCGCTTATCTTA